GCCGATCATTTTTCGAAATTGTGTTTGGAACCCTCTGGAATTCCTCCAGAATTTTCGGTGAATTGGTTTGTAGGCAACGCGAAATGTGTAAAATAAATTGCGAAAAAAACAATAGAAAATTTGCCACGTCGAGTGATGTTTTTCCCACATCAAAATCTGTTACGATAAACCACACAACATTAATGTAGTTTATGTACTTAAATATTGATTTCCCGACGGAAAAAAAGGATTATTAATTTTTCGTTTGATTTACAAAATATTACAACCACAGCTTTCCAAGTTTAATCTTTGTTTCGAATATTTCGTAAAATTACCGAGCACAATATATATAATATTTATATTAAAATTATTAAACAGAAAAACACGATATTATACACATGCATTTTTAATTGGATCTATGTTTAGCGCGTACATAATTATAAAATTGTTTAGAATTTTGCTGCGTTGTTTAATTATAAAACTTTCGTAGCATTCTACATGTTTGTTCTAACAAAAGTTTACGATTTCACTTAGTCATACATCCTAAATATTTTTCTGACTTTATTTCATTTTCAACTTCGCATTGCTATTTTCAAAAAAAAAAAAAATCGCTTGCATCGGTTTCTTCTTTATATAAATTCCTACGTTGTATAGTTATTATAAAGGAGGAGCGAGAAACGTATAAAGAGTACGACGTTTGACCATCGAAAAGAACCTTTCTGAAAGGCTTTTTTCCACTTGTCACATCATCCCTCAGATATCCCCCTCCAAAAAGTTAGTATACCTGTTTTCGTGACCTTCGTCATTTGCTCCCTTTCTCCTGCTTTTTTCCCGTGGAAACTTTTTTCCCGGCCGTTTTAGCAGAAGCAGGTTTTTTTCTTTACCTAAAACCCCGAACAAATGCATTCCACGCGAGTTGTTTTTTCTCCGCTCCGGAACGCATCAATCTCTCTGTGCGAGCCGGTCCATCCGTGTTCGATGGCGACGAGGTGGCTTTCTCGAAGCTTTTAGTCGTCGTACAGGTATAGATATGCTATACGGAACGTGTTTTCGAGATCGGACAGATGTTCCGCTAATGATGGATATATAAATGTATCGACAGTAAATACAGTGTCATATTTGATTACACATACCGTTCAATATTTATCCTCATCTAATTTAAGCGTATATTTTTGCGAGTGTTGATTTACTGTCGATACATTTATATATCCATCATTAGATGTTCCGCTAATCAACACTCGCAAAAATATACGCTTAAATTAGATGAGGATAAATATTGAACGGTGTGTGATCAAATATGACACTATATTAAAAATATATTTACTATATTTTTAATATAGTGTCATATTTGGTCACACACCGTTCAATATTTATCCTCATCTAATTTAAGCGTGTATTTTTGCGAGTGTTGATTTACTGTCGATACATTTATATATCCATCATTAGATGTTCCGCTAATCAACACTCGCAAAAATATACGCTTAAATTAGATGAGGATAAATATTGAACGGTGTGTGATCAAATGTGACACTATATTAAAAATATATTTACTATGTTTTTAATATAGTGTCATATTTGATCACACACCGTTCAATATTTATCCTCATCTAATTTAAGCGTATATTTTTGCGAGTGTTGATTTACTGTCGATACATTTATATATTCATCATTAGATGTTCCGCTAATCAACACTCGCAAAAATATACGCTTAATTTAGATGAGGATAAATATTGAACGGTGTGTGATCAAATATGACACTATATTAAAAATATAGTTTAAATATAGTTTTTGCGAGTGTTGATTTACTGTCGATACATTTATATATCCATCATTAGCGGATCTGTCCGTTCTCGAAAACACGTATCTATACCTGTTTTGTGTTTATATCTATGAGAAGAATTCGAAATTTTTTTATCATTAGGGTAGTATCATTATCATATTTATGGTGGACGCATGGTGCGCAAATATAATAATAATAGAAAATATTTCAAAAATTTTATCCCCGTGCAAAACACGGTTATCTTTTCGAAGCCTTTTTTTTGTCGTTCCTCAAAAGCTCGTCAACATTCATTTACGACAGTCTTGGCCTTCCTGATTCTCGACTTGCACTCTCATAAGAGCATCCACCGTTAAATAAGTCTTCCGCTTGTACATATATATGAGGCTGTGAGAAGAGAGAGAGAGAGGACGAGTAAAACTTATATTAGACCTTAGAATTACCTGAGGTCTTTCAGAAATTTCTCCCGAGATTGCGCTTATAAATTTTCTACGAAATTTCGGTACTCTCTAAAGAGAAGCCTTCGTAAACATCGTATCAAGAAATTATGATGACGATATTACATCACTCCCGCAATTTCCTGTTTATTTTGTTGAAACATGACGCGCGTATATTGAAGGAACATTTTACCTGCGATTGAACATTACATCTGTTATTAATTCGACATCGAGACATTTTTTCCTCGTTTTCGTCATTATCAATTTTTACGCTCTGCTTACTATAAAAATTGCGTTCTGCCTTTCTCATCCTTTTTTCGAGTTCATTAAAATGCACCCCACAAAATCCTTATCTTCCTTCTTCGTGGAGTTCTCAACGTTGTATTCTCGTAAAAACGTTCATTGTTAAACAAGTATCTTCCCTAATGTCGAGGTACAGACCCGCGGAGTAACGAGACTTTTGAGAGTCCTCGGCATTAAAATATTTCGCGTACCTCATACGCGACTTAAGTCGTAGTAGAGGAATCGTATATAGGCGTACATACATCGCGCAAGAATATTTACCGTACATCAAAGAGTTAGAAATCCGGTAATAAAATTGGCAGAAATTTGCCAGGGGCTTGCTGTTTGCTCATCCGATCCCTTGATTTTTATTGATTTACCGATTGCCTTCGCGTTGTGAGAATTTTAACTACATCCTTCGGTCCTGAAATACGTACGTGAAACTTCCGGTTAGAGACTCGAGCGAAGCCCAGTAAAAAAAAAAAGGAGATTTCTTTTCTTCTCTTTCGAGAAAATTAGATCACTCGTGGATGTAATTTCTTTAGATCTCTTAAGCGGGGACTCTTAACAAGTTAAACGAACGGAAACATGTCAAAAAATGTAAAAAAGATGTTCTCTTATGCGATATATGTATGTATATTTTGCGAGCGCGCGGTAATTTTTGCAAAAAAGAGAGAATGGGTATAAATCTCGTCTCTTTTTTTACGGATAAAAATTATCCGAAATTAATGGCAGGGAATTAGCAGCGAAAGCGGTGCGAAAGCGTTTAATTACACCAAAGCATAGGGAAACGTGTTAAATATCTCTCGCTTGGCATTAGCGCTTTTCTCTCGCCCGCGGAGTCGTTAGTTTTTAATCGGCGGAACAAGCGCACACGTGATGCGTGTAACACATCGATGCGAACGAGTCCGGCCCGTATCTTCGTGCGAGAGTGCTCGCCATTCTCCCTCGCGGAAGATAAATAACGCGAAAATCGCATTTGGCAGCCGGCCAAAATACGAAACACCCTCGTCGAGAGAGGAGAGCGCGCGTATTAAATTCCCGCGACCGCCCGGATCATTTAAATCCCTTTTCAGCTAGTTAAAATACCGTGGCGTATTCCGGGGACGCTATATGTGCAGGGAAATTATTTTGCATGGCCGCGGAGCAAGGGCCGCCGAGATTTTAATTTCATTTTCGCGCGAGGGCGTATGTGCGTCACGCACGTGGCGCGTCTAATTTTCTACACGGTGGAGCGGTGCACCGACTTAATTATTTCAACGTGAGACATCTGGATCCGCTGCGTGGGAAGAATGTAAGACTGAATTTAAGTGCCGTGTAGATCGCGTTGTCAAGCGCAAAGATTACGCGAAAAATAATTCTCAAAAATATATACCGTGATAAAGAAAATTATTTTATTATATTAAATATACATTGTATCAAATTATAATATTTAAAAAATTAAAGAATTATATAATTAAAGAGAAAATTTCAGGAAAAGGAAATGAGATATGTATATCATATATTATTATGTTATGTGATATATTTTATCTTTGCTTATCTATTATGAAAGAGAGAGATAAAGAAAATATTTATTATATTAAAATAACTACTATAAATATATTTTTAATTTTCTAACGGAACGTATTAATATTTTTTTTCTTCTTTCTTGTTTTTTTTTTTGCATTTTTATATTCTGATGTTGCTGAAAACATACTGGCAGACATTATCTAAGTAGCTTCGAGCGTGAAAGCCTTTAAAAAGGATCCTGGTTCCTTTAAAAAGGATTCAAGCCATTTCATCGAGAGGTTACGTCTTGTTAGTTCGCAAAAGGATGCAACATTATATGACTGACATGCGCGACAGTATTAAAATTTCAGCTCTTGAGAGAAAATATAGCTGTGAAATTGATGCTTAAATTTCTCGAGTTTCTTTATAACAGCGCGGAACAACTCAAGCGATTTTATTAGGCGCATAATTAAACGTCTTTCTATTAATAACATCGTTAGTTGCAATGTGTTTGATATAAATAACGAATGCATTTCTCGGCACAATACTTGGTTGTTATTTATGTAATTGGATAACCGTACGTTAAACTTGCTGTTTTAATTATCGCGCAGAAAACATGTAATGATATCATTGTCATAGCTACGTTTATGATAATTATTAAGTGGGAAAGATAAGATACGTTCTTTTTTTTCACGAGGTCATTTCAAAATCGTATCGATTAGTAAGTATTATTCGTAAATTCAGATTTCGTACAAATGTCGTCTCACGTAAATTGTGATTGATAGTTAGATTACGGTTCTAGTGCATCTGTCTCTTAAATTTATCATCGATCAATATGCGACATTATATTAAGTGACACTATAATTTCGTCGAGCGTTGAACACATTTAAATGTTCAGAAATAACGAAGCAAAATTGAATTTTATCACATATAATTTAGAGTGCATTATCGAAAATATCCAGTGGACAGAGCTAGATCATCGTCCTTAATTAACATTTCTTTTTTCATCGTCCGAAAAAATGTTTATCGACAGTGCAATGAATATATCTGACCGCAATGTATCGGACACCAAAATTAAGTTATATCTCAAGCAATTATTGACAGCTCTCGGGCCGCTGACAGGAATAATCGCGGCTGGCATGTCGAATGGTTACAGCGCGATACTTCTTCCGCAATTGAAGACAATTTCTTCCAACGACAGCAGCGAATCTTTATCGGAATCTGCGGATGCCGATCACTTCGGAGCGCTGACAATCGATCAGGAATCGTGGATCGCAGCTGCCACGATTCTGCCACTAACGCCGGGATGTTGGACCGGCGGTTTCGTGGCGGAAAAGCTCGGTAGAAGGACGTCGTTTCTACTACTTTATCCTATTTATTTCATCGGCTGGCTGAGCATCGGCCTCGCCACTAACGTACAAACTTTGATAGCGAGCAGACTCCTGGCCGGATACTGCGCCGGGATCCACGCGTCGATTTTTCCAATCTACGTGAGCGAAACAAGCGACCCTCTGTTGCGCGGTGTTCTACTGGGGGCGGTTGGTTTGACCCTTTCCATCGGTGCATTGGCGTGTCACGCGATGGGAACCTGGCTGAACTGGCGGACTACCGCGTATATCTGCGCCGCGTTGCCTATAATCAGCTGGATTGCCTGTATCTTCTCGCGAGAGAGCCCGATGTGGCTGCTCGGTAGAGGCCAAGTCGAGGAGGCGAAGCGCTCGTGGATATTTCTCCGTGGTGAACGCACGCTCGAGGAATTCTCCCTGTTGGAAACCACCAGACTCACGGAGATCTCTGAGAAGAGAGCCGGCAAACGATCGATGCCGCGCTCGTTCGTAAAGACCTGGTCGTCGCGGTATTTTTTGAAACCCTTCGGCATCGCTTGCTTATACTTTTTCGTCACGCAGTTTTCGGGCTCCAACATGATGACTTTCTACTGCATCGAGATGTTGGCGGACATTTCGGGCGAGACGCACGCGTATCTGATAACGTTGATCATCGACGCGATTCGCTTGACGTTTAGCATTATCGCGTGCGTCCTTCTAAAAACCTGCCGTAGACGCATCATGACGTTCGTATCCGGTTTCGGCGTGGCTGCTACTTTATTATCCTTGAGCGCGTGCTTGACGTTTGATATTGGAAGACCATGGATTCCCGTAATTCTACTCGTCGCTTACGTCGCTTTGCTGCCTTTGGGATTGACTCCCATACCCTGGTTACTTTGCGGTGAGCTCTTCTCGAGGACATTTCGCGGGCTCGGCTCCGGATTAACGTCCGGCTTCGGATTTATGTGCTTCTTCGTGGTGATCAAGACGATGCCGGCTATGATAGAATTAATAAAGCCCGAAGGTACATTCGCTGTTTACGGCTCCGTAGCATTGATCGGGACTAGTGCTCTGTACTTTGTTCTTCCCGAGACCAAAAATAAAACCTTGCAAGAGATTCAAGTATCTTTTAATGCAAAATCTCGCAAGCTGAAAATACAAGATGCGAATAATGTTTCATGAATACGATCCTTCCGAGGAAAACGAGAAATTTGATAAAGAAAATGACAAATGATGATTACTTTACGAAATATGTATTACCGTGATAAAAATTTGTGCACTTAACGATATCAGAATGAATTCGTTCAAATTTTATTTTAGTGTAAAATTATTTTTTTGGTTAATTATCCGTGTCATAAGATTATGAAGTGTTTGTATTATGCATTTTTCTTAACTCTGTCATTTTCGAAAAATCTATATAATTTGTAAGTAAAAAAAAATTATAAAACGTCGAGATTACTGTTTGTGGCAAAGATGAATTTGACGACGATGTGAACGCGCTACCGCAAGCAATTTCGCATTGCGTAAGTGACGATGCGACGCATCCTTCGACCGGATATATTTCGGACGTGCTGTAAAATTAACCGATGCGTCGAAATAATGACTCTGCGGCCGCGTCGGGACGAAGCCGGCGCGGCGAGAGCAATAGAAATTTAACTGCGAGCCTTGCCAACACGACGGACCGTAAAATTGCGTTCTCACGTGATTATTGCTCGGACCACTTACCGCAGCTGATGGAAATTACGGTTCGTCCCCGACGTTTCGCGTGACGTTTTGCGGGCCGCGCCAGTGACTTAAGCGCGTACGTAAGTGAAATATGGCGGCGGTGCTGTCGGGGTTATTAAAATGCGAAGAATCCTGATTTATCGCTCTTCGTCGAGATTTCGAGGCGATAAAGATAAAGATTGTTTCCGGTTGATGGATGAATCGACTACCTGTGCGGGCCAGATATTAAAGTTTCCCACATATATACGCACGAATCATTCAAGTCGCATAAATGATCGATCGAATTCAGCAATGACGAATTCAATTTCATTTTTGTGCGTCGGACCGGTTTTCGCTCGCTATTATTACGCAGCGAGTCGTAGATGGATCTTTAAGAGACCATTTTTCCTCCCGGTACGATTTCAATCTCGGAAGTATCAAAAGCGCGCGCCATAAAGAATCACGCTAAACTCCGACGGTTTTTCTTTCTCTCTTTTTAATTTCATCCCCAATCTTAACTCGTTACTCTCCTTTTTTCAATTTCGCTTTTATTCGGTTCGCCTTGCGCTGATTATTGCTAGCACGCAAAGCGATCGTTACGTAGAAAAATCCTTGCTTCTCTTTACTATAATCATTTTCGATCAGTACTACCTTTCGCGAAACTCGATTCCTGGCGAAATATTGGCTGAAAATCTTGCGATGGCAAAATGCTATTTATATTATAATATAGTGATACACGTCACTTTTGTTTTTTAAATAGTTTTACGTATTAATTAATAAGTTAGATAACTGTTGTTGTATACATATATATTGTTAGTTATCAAACATTAGTGAAAAATATATAAAAAATAAGAATATCGTAGTAAAAGTAAAGAGAGATAACAAGAACTATAGTAATGAATGTTAAACTTAAATATATATATTTATTTACTAAATATATATATATATATATATATTGGAATTTCTTTCAAATGCTTGTAGACATTGGAACGAGACGAGTTGCTACCGGAACAAGAAATTTGACAATTTGAAAGATTTCACGATCGGTAGAGCTGGAAATGAAAAGTCGGCGATATCAAACGTGATTTATGACGATAAGGACAATCTCGGCCCAATTTCCCACGCGCGACGTGCCTGAACTGCATATAATCTTCATGAATGCGTAATGACCCGTCGTGCGTCCTCTCTCCCGTGGCCCATTCAGTAAGGTCTCGTGTAATGGAGGGGAATAAAAACTAGAAGGTCCCTACGCGATAGCGCCGCGCCAATGGCGCTTTTTGCGTTGACGATGAAGCCCTTCAGACTCCTCTTCCTTCTCGATCTTCTCGCCGCGAGGAGTTCAACGGCGGAAAATGCAGTCGAGCGAGAACGTTTAGCACCCTCGGTGATTCGAGACGACATTCATATCGATTCGGATCGAGTCTTTACAGTCACCATCTGTATTGGTGCTACTATAGCACAAATGTTAAGAAGCGGGCTCTTTTCAAAGTTGCAGGTATCTGTATGAATTTTTATTCGTATATATATGTGCGTTATATGTGAACGATAAAACAAATATCGATAACACGCGTGATAACGCGCGACTAAACCAATAAACTGCTTCGAAGTGCAAGCGTTGAATGAAAAAGAAAATAGCATATCGCGGATATCGGAAAATATTTGTCGATTACTACCGTTTTGAGTTACAAATCGTTGTATTCACAAATATGAGCGAAAATATCTGTCAACTTTTACAACGTAAATTTCTATGTATATCGCGGCACTTCGAAAAGAAAAAAAGAAAATAAATGAATAAAAGCCGAGCCAGGTATTTTTAATTCCCAGACGTTTGCACAATGCTAATTTCGAGATAACGCGAAAGTCGCGGGTGCAATCCGACACGGCGGCAAAATTGTGCAGGAGGATGATCCGGCGAGCAAATTTACCAGTAAAATGAAAATGTAACGCTGTAACACACTCGGCAAACTCACGCAGATCACTGTATGCAGCCGTCCGTGAGCTTTTATGTACTTCATAAACATTCTCTCGCGGTCTCTCTCTCCCTCTCTTTCTTTCTCTTTTTCTTCCTACTCATCATCATCCATGATCCTATGTTTGCGGTTTAGGAATGACATCTTGTTCGATGCTGTGCCAGCCGCGATGCAAAGCGAAGCGACTAGACGGCGATCGCTTTTATGATCTGTCTCGACCAGCGCGGTTGTTGGTCCAGCGACCGTAAATTGCCGCAGGTTCAAAAAATCGCGGGCGGTTACTGTCTCGCCCGACGCAATAAAGCGCGACTTCATTTGCGTTAAATTTTTCAAACGCCACCATATATGCGGTGGGTTTTTTATCGCGACATCACGACATAGTCGCTTAAAGTGCGCGACCGCTATGTTTAAGCGTGGCATACTCTTTTTTTCTTTTCTTTTTTTCAGAAGAAAATGTGCTTTGTCCGGCTTAATAAATCGTATTTGCGAGCATTTGTAGCGCAATCCTCATAATCGCGAAATTTTTTTTACATACATTTCGCACGAGACTAATAAATCGCGATTACACACGTCAGATCTTCTTTTCATTATATTTTTTATATTATATGTTTTCTATACGATTTCACGCACATTTATGTATTATATAATTTAGCTACGTAATTTTTCAACGATCCACACCGTTAATCTCCTTTTGCGAAAATACCCGAGGTTCGTAAAACGTTTTACGAGATGTCAGAGTTCAAAGTGAAGCATCCCTGTTGCGTGTCGGTAGCCTGCTACTTCCGGCAAGGACTCAAACTCTTCGACCGTCATTAGGAAATTTATACGAGCCGGAAGATAAGGCTTTGATTAAATCCGGATTCCAAGTAGAGGGTCGGTCCGTGTTTCTCTGACAAAATTGAAGGAGCTATCTCCAGCCGCTACGAGTAATCGCGGAATGAGGTGGTTTCTGTGTGAGAAAAAGGAGATGGAACTTTATCAGGTCCTGCGAACTCACCGACAGCGACGGGAAAAGAAAGTAAGAGTACTGGTTCGCACTCTTCGAAGTTAAGGACCAAAAGATAAAGGTTGATCGCTTTATCTTTGGAATAGAAAGAATGTTATTTTGTATCGAGGGGGATAGGTTCTCTTTAAAATTAAAATAAATCTTCCGTCTCTATCTCATATATTATTATTTTATATACATTTTATATGCAACGATTTATGTGATATCTAACCATTTAAGACGCATATCCCAAAATATATTAGTCGCGATATTTAATTTTTCGATGGTCGTTATGTATATATATTTTTTAATTTCATTGAATTTAAAAAATAATATATTTAATATTTACAACGATATATCTTTCTTTAAATATTTTTAAGCAAGGGAAAGAGAAATGAAAATATTGCATACATAGACATACATAGAGATTAAACGTGAGCCAAGAAAAGAAATAAGAGATCCTTTGCTAAAACAAGACAGCCGAACTCGACGATTTATCCTGACGTTGCTCAACGACGAGATCAACTCTGCTTTTGGCTTCTAACGAAAATGTCGTTCCTCGCATCAGTTCTGCTTAAGAACCTGGCAAGGTGATAAAAACGAACTGGATTTTCCGAGACCTCTTTTTCTCCTCATTCCTTTCTCCGTTACTGTGCGACGCCTGCGGTAGCAATAATTTGCAATTTTTGTGAAACGTATACCAAGCCGGAGATAACGTTGGAATCGACTTTAGGAACAACACTCTGAAAGTTTCGCGGACCGTGATGATACTATTTGCCACAAAGTTGCAAGTTAACTGGTAGGTAACAAAGTTAGCACGTTTTAAATACGGTAAAGTGTTGCAACTCTGTTTTCTTTTATTTTTTTTTGGATATTATAGCGTACATATTATTTAATATAACATCAGCCTTAATAAAAATTTATATATTTGATTATTCTCGACTTTTCTACACTTTCTTTTGAGAAACCTGTATATCTTTCTATTGTAAAATATTTGGAACTCAATTATAAAAATAAATGGAAATAATAAATAAAAATTACGAATTAAAAATTTTCATTTCGGAAAAAATCGTATACGATTATCAGTTATGGATTGTTTCAATATTTACAGCTTTTCGCAAAATCTTGACGTTTACCAAGAATTAAAAATAACGATTTCAATATCCTTTTTAATGTTATGTGTCTCGTGAAATTTTAAATCTAACGTCCATCTTTACAGACCGCAATCACGCGAACGAAAGTCCACCATCGACCGTTGTTGAGAAAACTCGGCACAGGAAATGATGTTCGCTCGCGATCGCTTGAAACTTCATGAAATTCTATTTCGAAGTTGAAACTACATACGGTCCTGAGCATCAGCTTTGCATAAAATGATAGTGTCTATATCGCCAGGGATGTCGCGTTCTTCCAACATTTGATAATGAAATGATTAGATGTTTGGTTATATGAAAATTTTATCGGTAATTTTACAGAACAATTTTATTTAATATCTTTAAAAATTTCTTTGGTTCGCAATATAATTC